CTGTCAAGATCCATCTGGATCTTGACCCTATCTTCTTGGGTATTAGCTATTCCTCCCAGCTTAGTATCATCTGCAAATTTGGTGAGTTCCCCTTCTATTCCTTCATCTAAGTCAGGCTTGTCCAACCCGCAGCCCAGAGGCCGCATGCGGCCCAGGTCGCCTCGTAATGTGGCCCAGTGCCCACCCCAACCTTCATGCCAGAGCCAGCGAGGAGGAAGAGGAGAGGCAGGGGCGGGGTGGGGTGAGGCGAGCTCCATGCCAAGCAGCAACAGAAAAGGCGGGCGCCGTCAGAGCGCCACCTCCCGCTGTTGCTGCTGCCGCCCCTGCCGCCGCTTCTGCCCCCCCGCTGCTTCTGCCCCCCCGCCGCTTCTGCCGCCGCTTCTGCCCCCCGCCGCCGCCCCCCCGCCGCTTCTGCCGCCGCTTCTGCCCCCGCTGCCGCTGCTTCTGTCCCTGCTGCCACTTCTGCCCCCGCCATCGCCGCCACTTCTTCCACCACCACTGCTGCTGCTTCTGCCCCCGCCGCTGATGCCCCCGCCGCCGCTTCTTCCCCCGCCAAACCAAACCAAATTTTCATCTTCTAATGTGGCCCAGGGAAGGTGAAAGGTTGGACACCCCTGATCTAAGTTGTTAAGGAAGATATTGAAGAGTTCTAGGCCTAAGACTGAACCTTGTGGCACCCCACTGCTTACTGCCCTCCATGTAGACTTAGACCCATTAAGGACTTCTCGTTAAAAGATGACACCTCATTACAGTTTTCACTTTTCAGTCTTTTCAATCTTCCTATTTCTTGGTTAGCCCTTGGAGGAAACTGGAAAATATATCCCCAATCACAAATTCTTGGCAAGGGTCTTTCCATTTCTTTTAACCTTGTTACAGAATTAGTCCATGTATTGTTTTCTTTGGGTAGTAACTTCATGGCATTCGCAGAATTTTTTATGTCTTATTTTTTTTCCAGCATCCTATCTAATGGCAATAAACTCCATGACTTTCTTGAAAAAAAGGTCTTCTACTCAATATCAGAACTGGGTATGGAAGGATGGGAAAGCAATATTTTAAGATAATATAATGTGGATGTGCCTGAAAAGCCTATTTGTTGGCGGCAATATGTATGTCGAAACTCAAGTACTTTGGCCATCAAACGAGAGGAAAGGACACATTGGAAAAGATGTTGGGAAAGATTGAAAGCAAAAGGAGAAGGGGACGACAAAGAATGAGATGGGTAGATAATGTCACTGATGCAGTGGACATGAGTTTGGGCAGACTCAGGGAGATAAGTGAAGGACAGGGAGGGCCTGGTGTGCTATGATCCATAGGGTTGCAAACAATAGGATATGACTTAATGACTGAACAACAACAATATGTACCTCAAAACTGAGGCAATCAAACCAGGCCACAAATCTGGATTTTACATTGAACTTTAAATGTTCTACATCTGCTCTTTGGTACACCAAACTTTCCTCTTCTCCTCCATGCTACATCGAGAGCCCAGGATGGGTTGACTCCTTCCTATGATGTCATTTACCCAACCCCTGGGAGAGACCCCAGCTTTGGACTCAGCTCTTTCAGTCAGTAGCTGTGTCTCTGAAAGCGTTCTGTTAGATAGCACTCACCAGTGATCTTCAGTACCTTTTTTCCTCGCTTCAAGCAGCTCCCAGGGCAGCTGCTCTTCCAGGAGAGCAGGGCTTGCTCTCCTACAACGTTGGGAGCAGTGTTACAGAGCTCTGTGCAGGCAAGCTGGGCAGTGTCTGTAGACCTCCCCCACGCCTGCGATTTGGAGCGATTGTAAAAATGATCAGCAAACTGATAAGAGCACAAGCCAGCTGATTGTGTGGCTGGTTTCTGCGTTTTTCCCTTGCTGACTTCGCTCGGGGCTCTGTATAGCCTAAGGAGCAATTCTTCGATCTTGGAGCCTGTTTCCTCTAGTCAGTGGCTATCTTGGATTCAAGCCTTCCACCACGAGGTGAGTGGCCATTTTGTAAGCCCGGGGGCCATTTATACCCTAAGGGGCTTAATAGAAAAATTTCTAAGCAGCTTCTTCCAACGCAAGAGCCTTTATTCTACAAATGGAGCAAGATAAGGCTCAGGCAGAGCTTTCCCCCCCAGTGGAACAGTCTCTTAAGCCCAATAAGAGAAAAAGACGTAGGCAACGCACCCAATCAGTCCAGAGGGAGGTGGCTGCTAAAATCAAAGCTAAGGCTCTAGGCCCTAAGAAAGCAACTCAGGCTGAATTGAGGGCAGAGAAGCGCAGACATGCAGCTCTAAAGAGGCAGTTCAACAGAACTATTCAACGTAAGGGAGTGCAAGTACAGCATGTTTCAGGTGATACTCGTGAGCCCCAACCAAGCCCTCCCAGGGGAGGAGAAGTTATCTATCTATCCTTTCCATCCTGGTCTCCTGAGGCTCTTGCAGTACAATCAGATCCTCAGGATCTCAGCAGATCTGGGCCTTATTTCCAACAGGTTTCCATGCCCTATGCTCCTCCCCCTCCCTCCAGGCCTCGAACCTCTCCTCAGTCTAGGTCTGAAGCCAACTTCACTCCCACAGCAGTGGGCCTTCGGCCTCTACCTTTGAGCATAGACCATCCAAGATGTTGTCTCATTGGCCATTAGGCAGGGATTGGCTGAAGGCTTCAAGCAAATTCTTCAACCTCTGGAAAGGGTTCAGGCCCTTCTCCCTTCTCAATCTATAAGTTCCTTGCCTCATCATCCTGATTTACCCAGGCCCCAGGACCTCAGGGTCCATTCTTCTCTACCAGAATGGGAGGAGGTTGATGAGGAAGGAAGGCCTTCACCATCTGAACACAGTTACTCTTCTCATTCAGAGTGTGAAGAGGGTGAGATTTTTGACCAAAATCTTTCAGAGGAAGAGGATTCTCGCCCAGAGCAGACATCCTCGCATCGGTCTTCAAACCTACTCTCTTCAGGCCATTACTCAGCAAGGCCTTGGACACTGCCAAGCTGTTGCCAGAGGAAGTGGCTCTCGAGCCACAAGGAAATCTCTCTAGCTAAGGGGATTTGCTGTTCTCCAAGTCTCTAGTGCATGCAGAGATTTTGCCTTCTCCCATTTTGTTCCTGGAACATGGTCAAGGAACAGTGCGCTTCTCCTTCAGGAGGTCCTCGCCCATCTTCTCTGGATAAGCATTTCTACAATGTCAGCACAGCTCTGGACAATGCCCTAGCAGTGCCTTCTGTTGACATTCCGGTTCTGGCCTCGTTCTCATCTTCTGGCACTCCCACAGAGCCAGAAGATATCCTGAAAATGGATGATAAACGCTCCGAACAGACCCTCAAACGCCATCACCAGGCCGCTGCTTGGGCTGTTCGGGCTTCAACAGCAGCATCCTTTTTCACGAGGGCATCCATACGGTGGCTGCGCCAACTCCAGAATAGATTGCCTGCTTCTGACCTTCAGTCTCACCAAGACCTGAATAAGATTATTGCAGCAGTGGAATTCACTGCGAATGCCACTCAATTCTGCCAAATTTGCATCTAGGGTCATGGCATCTTCTATAGATCCATGATCAGATGGTGACAGATGCATCTCTGTCATATCCTCTTCTGCACAGCCAAGCAGATCAGGGAATAAGTAAATGAGCATCAGGGAGGAAGAGGATGTCTTCAAGGAAAAAGGCCCCATTTAGAATTATAAGCTGAAGGCCAAATGGGGATGTGGAGGTAAGCCTCAGTGAGATCAATGGAAGAGAGGAGGTCGCCCTCCCGAATGCTCTCTAAAATAGAATGCAGAGTCTGCATTTTAAATCATCTGTATTTTACAAATTGGTTGAGAAATTTTAGATCAAGGATTGCTCGCCACCCCCCTGAGGCTTTGGGAACGATGAAAAGGAGAGAGTAAAGCCCACGTCCCCATTGAGATGGGGAAACAGGTTGAATAGCCCTAATTTCAAGAAGGTGCTGAATGGCCTGATTCATCAGGGCTTGCCTGGAAATGTCCCGAGAGACAGGACAGATCAAAAAATTTTGGGGGGTGGTGTTAGGAAGTCCAATTGTAACCCTGACCTAATAGTGCTGAGCACCCAGGCATCCATCGTTGACTCCTCCCGTTTGGAGGCAAAGAAGGCTAGGTGACCTCCAATGGGTGGGGAGAACGAGGGATTACTTAGAGTGACGGAAGGAATGACCCCCTCCCCCCCGAAAGGGTCCTTTACCAGTAGAAGGTTGTTGCCTGCCAGATGCTTCTGCCTGTTGGTCTTGGTGTTGGGAGTACGGCCTGTGAGAGCGGGGGAAGCGAGATGAGGTCTCCACTCGGAAGGCAGGAGGGCGATAAGGAGCTGGGCGATAGTCGGCTTTCTTCCCAGAGGAAGAGAGAATTTTACGTTTATCTCTGGTTTCGATGAGATAAGGTTCCAGAGCATTACCAAGAAGTTTATCGCCTGCAAATGGAACTGAAGCCAGCTTCCATTTTCAGTGTGACTCCGCCTGCCAATTTCGGAGCCATAAAAGTCTTCTTGCAGCTAACAGTTTCTGTTTGAAGTTTGAGCAATCTTAACTTTAATTTTGAGACTAAAAATTATCAAAAGAAAGAGTAAGAACCTTCAAATTCCCTAATTAGAGAGTACATGGACAGCAAACTGAGTAGGCATAACAGTTCACAATGCTCCCCACTATATATTGAGATGTATTTTAGGATTATGCCATTACTATTTCTCAATTTCCATTAAAGCAGATGCCTAGCAATGCTGACTGGTGATGCTGTTAGCTGTATTGGATTCAAGTACAGTACTCAAATGATAGTTTTCCTTACTTTACACTCAGATTTCTTTCCCACAACTTTTAATTGCTGGGGAGGAAATGTTTGCATTTTGAGAGGTATTATTTAACTAGAATTTATTTTTCAGTGCTCAACTCTCTTGTCCTTTTACTGAAAAGATCAGTAAAATAAGTTTCTATGGCAATTAGAGAAGTTAATTTCACTTCTACCAGCAAGCTTGTATCAAGTATTTATGTTATATTATGCTATGCTATTAATCTCTTTTGTTCCAGATGTTCAAATCTTCTTGTCCACAATGATCTTCCCACCACTAGCATTATAATGTGCTTTGTCGATGAAGTATGGTCCACTCTCCTGCGTTCTGTCCATAGTATCCTCAACCGGTCCCCCCCTGAATTGATTAAAGAAGTTATTTTGGTGGATGATTTTAGCACAAGAGGTAAGTCAGTATCCTAGAAACAACATGCCATTTCATAATTTATTGTTTGAAAACAAAACATTTTTTTTCATCATGATAGAAGTTACTGAGGTTCTCCAATACATCCCATATATTTCCCTGAAAGATCAAAGTGGACTTACTTTATTTCAGTGGGTCCCCGTATGTCAAACACAAAAGATCAAGCCCCCCCATGAAGAAAAATGGATTTATTGCTACTCGTGCCTATTATGCACAATAATCTCCTCAACTAACGATTGGTACCTGCTTAGATAAGAGTCAACAGCATTCTAGGAGGGAGTTAGTTCTTTTGTGGCTATGTAGGGTTTCTAATCTGATCCCTTTTTTCACTCTGCCTCCAGATTCTGCCATCCCTTCTCCCACATTAGATCATATCTTTTCTCCCCTCACAATTTAGAAACAAATGTTCCCAGCAAATGTAAGGGTATGATGTATAATCAGTTGATTAATATGCAGTTTCTACTGTCGGTAGAAAACAATTTTTTGGTACTTTTCAATATCCTCTACAAGTATCAGAGGCAGTGTTTGGGGATTGATGACCCACTTTATTAGTTAAATTTGAAATAGATACAATCTGCAGTACACATATTTGATTCTCCTCTGTTCTAATTTAGCTTACCTGAAAGACAAATTAGACAAATACATGGCACAGTTTCCAAAGGTCCATATCCTTCATCTAAAAGAAAGACATGGTTTAATACGAGCAAGACTAGCTGGAGCAGAGATTGCCAAAGGTAAGCAGAATGGCATTGATTGATTAATTGCAGATACCCTACAAGGTACAGAAATAATTAGAACAATCTAGTTTGTTAAATGAAATTTGTTCATTTAAATTTAATTAGAATAAAGGGAACTAAGTAGTATGTTCCAAGCTTTGGTTAGCTGGGAGCAGGTGCTAACATGCGGTTCTCTTAACTGAGTTCGTACATTGTGTGAAGTCATGGCTTGTTTTATCCTCTCTCCTTTCTATTCTCAGCAGTTTACAGGTATTTTTAAAAAATACGATAAAATATAGGTAGTCTTCATTGAATGACTGTTCTGACTTGCGAATAGCAGTAACCGAGTTGTAAGTATATCTGAATAGTAATTACCACTTGGTTACTTGTACTTGGGTTATTTTTTTTTCTATTTTGTGTTTGTACTGTTTGTAAGCTGCCTAGTCACTGAGCAAGTAGTTAGCTATATAAATTTTCTAAATAAATAAAATAAACTGGTCCTCAGAGTTCAATATGACACAATTCCCCACAGTCACAGGATCATGATCTGAATGCTTAACAAGTGGCCTGGATTGCCAGTCGTCACAGTGTCTCACAGTCAGATGGGCAGTCTTGGGTTCCCCACAAATAAATTCAGTGGGGAAGCTGACAGGAAATCAGAAGTTGCAATCATCTGAAGTACTTGCTTAACAACCTGCATGGTCTTAGTTTAATGATAGTAACTGGGGACTGCCAGAAATGCTGTTACTAAGTGGTGCAGTGACATGACATCACACTTCTTAGGAATGGAAATTCCAGCCCTAATTACTGTTAATAACCAAGGATTCCCTATAAGCTCCGAGAACACCAAGGATTCATCAGTTCAACCCTGATCTACATATATTTTCTAGTTTTGGAATAAAATAAGAATCTAAGAACTTGAGACTATCAACATCACTCCATAAAATGATTAAATTGTTTAATTAAAACAAAACCATACTTCAAATTAATGTTAGAGATAAAACTAAAAACAACTTCCAGTACCCCCAGTAAATGTGATAACAGAGGATTTGTTGATTTAGTGACAGTGGCTGTTTACACATGACGTTAAGATCTAAACAGTACGAAAATCACTGGCTGAGTTTATATGCTGGGCTAAGCCATAAATAAGCTATAATATAATGTAATATAATGTATTATTCCAGCAACTATACAAGAAGTTTATTGAAATCAATAAGATATTTTTAAAGTTACACTGCACAATATATTTAGCATTAATTCAACTGAACTCCAGAATGTCTTTCTAATCTGGCCTTTTTAATACATTTTAGGAGTAATGTTTTTAATTTTTAAATAATTTTCATGAATTTGATATTCATGACCTCATGAAGGTGAAGCTATGCATCACCTTCACGTTTTCAGCAGAAAGTGTTACACATGTATTTCAAATGTTAAAACTTCCTGTCCACTAAAAATAGAAATTTAGTAGCAAGTTAATATAAAGGTTTTACTAAAAACTGTCCTTGAGGCCAGCTCTACTGATATTCTAGCGTGAAGATCTCCTCTACTTTAATAGCTATTGTAACAAATGTCTTGCCAATTTTCAGAATAATTATATATTTGGAATTGTTTTTCTTCTGAATGTTACTGTTATCAACTCTAGGACATTTTATGGAAGATATGCTTTTGCTTTGATTTTTGGACTCAAATTGTATTTTGAGATGTGTGATAGAAATACTTTCTGAAAATATCTTTTTTCTAATTAATATGAAAATAATAATCTGTGTTCCCTGAATTAAAGGATTACAGAGTTGTAAAAAGGAGTTCTGTTTGGTATCTTTGTTGCATTTTTCTGTACATTCTATCACCATATTTCCCTTTAGAATCCTGAATAATTTTTCCACACAAGCCTGATCTATTGGAAATCGTGTCATGAATAGGATAATGTAAATAAATTTATAAAGTCTCCAAGTTTTGAAAGCTGATGACCATCAAAATGAAATGTGAATTAACCCAATGCTTCTTTAATGAGTTGGTTGGGTTAATTGTAGCCAGAGAAAATGAGGTAATTACATTACACAGTCAATAAGGTTTAATTATGCAGACTCACTGAGGGAAAGTAAATTTTGAGAGAGGTGAATATTTTCAGAGGTAATACCAAAAATCTTCAAAAGGAGGAGAAACTTTTTGACTTCTCTCTTCATCTTCCTTCCTTTAGATAATATACCTTTATTGGTTAGTGATTGATTTTCACATCTGGGAGTTCAGCAGCCACCCTTGTATGTTTAAAAACAAATAAAAGTCTTGCAAATTTGTGGAGGCTAATCCTACCACTATGCACCCAAGTCATGTAGCCACTAGACATATGTTTTATGATCATGAGGGGCTTATGTGCAAAAATCCCCTCCAGGCAAGAGAGAATCTATTACATTATAAAAGATCTCAGTATTAGTATATTAGTATGCATATAACAACTCCATTTTGAGTTTGCCAGCTATGCAGCAGTGATGGAGGCATTAGTAGGTGATAGGACCAGTTATTGCTCACAAAGAGCTAATAAGCACCTTCAAGATTGTTCTGCATGAAATAAAATTGGTCCTTCCATAGGTATACCTTTTTATTATTACACCACTGCAGTGTTTGCAAGTCTCTGTTAATAAAATGAAAAACTTTATTAACACGTTTTCCAACTCATATGTCATATATATTGATGAAGGTTTAAAGCACATCACAATTTCACTACTCTAGAGAAATTTCTAATTAGGTGAATATGGTGCTGGCCAGCGGAGGCATTCTTATCAATTAGTGAAATGCCATAAAGGACATTTTTCCCAGTGGTATATAAAAATTGTGTGTTGGAAAGAATATATGGTATGATTAAGATACAGTTAAGAATTAGCATTTCCAAGTTACTTTTTAGTGCGGAATCTTTTTATGATTCTTGACAAAGTGAACAGTAAAAACAACATCATATCGAGGCAAGGTGGAAGTTTTTGAAGAAACAATGAAGAGATATAATCTGAGGGGAAAAAAATCACTTAAGTAATGTCTCTTGTGAACTTCCTCATTATATATGGATTGTACGTTAAATATCTATCCACAATAAGAAGCGAGTCGATTTTTTTTTTGAGAGGCCAATAAATACTGTTAACTTTGCCAAATTTTTCCTGTCTCCTTGTTATAATGGCAAATTTACTTGCTTCTCTAGGTGATGTCCTGACCTTCTTAGATTCTCATGTGGAATGCAACGTGGGGTGGTTGGAACCTCTACTGGACAGAATTCATTTAAATAGAAAAAAAGTTGCTTGCCCTGTCATTGAAGTGATCAGTGACAAAGATATGAGGTGAGTTTTATTCTTCCATGTTTCCCTTGAAACTAGGGGGAGAGGGAGGAATCCATGGGTAGAGAGGGAATTTAGCATAGCTTTTTCCAGGACTGTAGCCTGAACAAGGTCCTCCAGGAGGGAGCACACCAATAATTGAATTGGTCACACCTTCATGATCTCAGGTACTCTGACTGTGTCCTTTTACCATTCAGCTTTTCTGTCTTGAAGGGCACGATTCAGCAAGCTCTTCTAGGCATGTTCCTTCAAAACACTTTAAAAATATTTATAAAGTATTAGTAGTGATAGGATTAAAAAATGTTTACAACCAGGTCTATGGGCGTGGCTTGGTGGGCGGGGCTCACAGGTGTGATTCAACTGGTATAACAACCGGTTCGGTGAGCAAGCACTTTGCTACTGACCTCCTGCAATCCTGCAATCTCCGTGTGTCTTCAGCAGCTGACACGTGGCAATCTGCTGTGCCATGCTAAAAGCAGCTGAGCTTGAAAACCATGTAATAAAGGTCAGAATAGAGCTGGGGTAGGCAGGCCCAGAAGCTGATCATTGGAGCGAACCAGGTCACTCACAGATGATCCTTGGAGCTACCGGTTTGGCTGAACTGGGCCGAACCGGTAGAATACTACCACTGAGTATGAGTGACAAACAGGAGAACCCTTGGGACTCTTAACACAGATTACCACTCTCCTTTGGGCAAAACACAGTTCTACCATAGATAGAACATCTTTTCTTGAGATCCTTTCTTGTTTGTTATAAAGCTTAATTCAACATAAAATAAGAAAATACAAACATATCATAACATTAATCAATTAGTTCATAATTTTTCAGGCTATTGTGTCTAATCTGATTTTGTTAACCCCAAACCTCAGAGATGTCATTCAATTTTTTTGTAGCTTCTGATTCAGCATTTGCTTTTTACATGAATTCTTTGCATGTTTTCCATCATTTAGTTACATGACCGTGGATAGTTTTCAGCGTGGTGTTTTTACATGGCCAATGAATTTTGGGTGGAAGCCAATTCCTTCAGATGTCATTAAAAAAAATAAGATTAAGGAAACCGATATAATTAGGTAAGTGTATGAAGTTAAAGTTTTGTGAACAGAATTGCTTTTTAAGTAATAAAATGTCTGACATGGTAGAATGACACATAGTTTAATGATTTGCAAATTTCTTCTTTCTGGATGGAAAGTAATATGATGTTAAGCATGACCTGTTTATTCAACTACAGATGCCACTTTAAAGCAGAGTAAAGAACTTTTGATTTTCTAAATATTACTGAGTTACTATTGCTATTGCTAATAGTGCTATTACTGAATTACCTCTGCCCATTCTGATTCATGAAACTTGTAACTTGGCAATGTGGCCACAAGTTCCCTGCTTCTTCTTTAAATTATTGTCTAACATAAATCAAGAGATTTTATAAGATTTTGAAAAAAAACATCAAACTATTGCCAAATTAGTTTTCCAATGTTTTGAACTTTCAGGTATATTTGCATGTAATACAACAACTGTCATTTGTGTGCAAAAGGACATATCTCAAAATAGCAAAATCTTCATTTGCCCTCCAAAACCACAATGTACATGTAATGTCTGGTTCAATTATTAGATGTCCTGTGATGGCAGGTGGGCTGTTTTCTATTGATAAGAAGTATTTTTTTGAGCTTGGAGCATATGATCCTGGCCTTGATGTTTGGGGAGGTGAAAATATGGAGATCTCATTCAAGGTATGTTAAACATATTTTCATTTGTTTCCAATTCATACTTGATTGCCAAATTAATGCTCTCTTGTCAGTAGCTAAATTGTGCATGTGCATTTGTTTCCAATTCTCCTAACTACAGATGATTAGGAATAACTGTATTAAAATAATCAGTATGTCATTATGGTATGATTATTAGTATCTATGGAAGGGGATATCCCTAATACCCCAATGCCTGGTAAATCAAAAGTATGTTATTATGGCTGCAAATCTCTAAGCAAGATAGTCAGTAGACAAATGTAATAAATAAAATAAAAATTGTTATTTGTGTCTATTATGTGCAAAGTCAGTGGACCAAAGTCAAGAAAACTGACTTTTTCCTGTATATAGATAAGAGTATTATTCATAATCATATAACTAATAATCTATTAATATTTTAACTGTCAGATTTCTTAAGCAATATATATGGTATTATCTGAATATAACTTATATTATAAAATCCTAACCTTCCCTTTAAATCATGACATAAAGCTTCAAATGGTGACCAATCACTCAATATCTACCCTTGTATTTAAATTGTTACAAAGCAATGATCAGTGAAGTTTTAATACAATTCAGCATGAAGTCTCAGTCACCAAATGATAGATTGAGGCCTCACCACTGGTTTGCATCAAAAGAAAGTTTTAAAAAGAGCGTGCAAGCTAATATTTGTGCTCATTGTAAGTGATGTAATGTCTGAATTGCTAAACAACCATTATGGCCATTGTTTTACTTGTGAAGGTTTCAACAAGAAAATAATTCTGAGTTGTAGAAATTAGATGAGGTGGTCTAAACCACGACTTATCCAGGAATTTGAAACCCCAAGCCTTTATTTGTGCTGTAAATACATGGTTGATGCAAATCATAATTTTATATGTTCTCAACTTAGTAGATACAGAATTTCTCATGAAAAAAAACAAAGTAAGACACATGCAGAAATTAAGAAATCTACACACTGCAGATTATGGAATAAAATTGCCAGAAATTATTATCTATTGTTGGCCTGATTTTATTTCATCAGGTTTGGATGTGTGGAGGAGAAATTGAGATTATCCCGTGTTCCCGAGTAGGTCATATTTTTAGGAATGATAACCCCTACTCCTTCCCTAAAGATCGCCTCACTACAGTAGAGCGGAATTTGGCCCGGGTAGCAGAAGTTTGGCTGGATGAATACACAGATCTTTTCTATGGACATGGTTATCACCTCATTCAAAAAAACTTGGACATTGGGGATTTGACTCAACAGAAGAAACTGAGGGAGCAGCTTCAGTGCAAGAACTTCAAGTGGTATTTGGAAAACGTGTATCCTGATTTAGAGGCCCCTCTCGTTAAAGCTAATGGGCTGGTATGTTCATTTTACCAATTCATTTTACCAATTTGTGCTATGTGCTATGTTAATTGTGGTTTTAGCTTAATTTCTTACGCACTGTAAAAATCTCATGTTAGCAGCAGCAAAATGTATTGTTAGATTAGTTGAATTTCCCATCAAGTGAAGTTTTAAAGAGATGGATGGATGAATTGGTTGATTTATTATGTCACCTTGTTGCATAATGCAGTTTTGTTCTAATAATTCATAATAATTTAAAAACTTCAGTATGGACTTCTGTATGTATAGTATGTTGAATCACTATCCTGAGGGTAAAATCCACAATATGAAAAAAATCAAAGGACTTTGGTATTGGGATTTTTAACTCTTAAATCCATGAATATACTGTATCTTGAGATTCTAATGTCAGTATGGTTATTTAAAGTGAAGCATAGAAAAACACTTCATAGAGTTCATGATAAGTTGTCCCTATGAAGGCCCCAAGATTGTCAGATGACAAAGAGGGTGGAGAATGTAAAAACTCTAATGGGTCATCACATAGTTCCAGCATGCATACAGAGCACAGATAGTCTGCGATAGTCTTTTCCACTATTTGGGTAAGCCACAGATATTGGTCTTCCTTTATTGTTCAAGTTCTGCTTCTTTAAATACATAGCTGGAAAAGAATGGATTCAGTTGGTTTTGGGTAAAAGAAATCAATGTTGGGAGTAAAAGTATTTAAAAGTTCTTGATGACCAGTTAATATTGAAGTGTGTTAGTAGAACATTTAGGATTTATATACAGTAATTACAAAATTTCATTTATTTATGAAATTTATATGTCACCTCAGTCCAACTAGACTCTAGAGCACTGGCTCTCAATCTGTGGTCCCCAGACCCCTGGGGCTCCATAATATTATAAAAGGGATTCATGAAGGCTTGAAGAAATGTTACGATTTAAATCTTGAGGTAAGTCTTGGTGATCTGTGACCATGGTTCGTGGCCACAAAAGATATTTAAAGGGGGGTCCGTGGTGAAAAAAAGGTTGAGAAGCAGTGCTCTAGAGAATTAGTTGAATTGAAAACAAATTTGTGAGTGGGTGGTGGATATTTCTGGTATCTCCAGGTTAGGAATAAATTAATCCAATGCAAATTGATTTGAAAACATCCTGAGTGAAAACTAATTTTGGGCAGATTAGGGATTACATAAAGTGGGTGGGGGTAATTGAAGCAATTTTTAACTACAAATTAAGGGCCTTTTTACTTCAGATTGTGATATAATATAGTCTTTCCCTGCAGATAGCTCCCCTGGCCTCCATAAATTCTCTGTGTAGTCTTTGGCAGATGAATATTTTCTGATAAATTAATACTAACAAATTAAGGCTGCTGATATTTGGAGCTGTGACTATAACTCTTAATTTGTATTCTTTTTACAAGTTATAAAAATAGTAACTTTCCTTTACCTGTAACGGCTTTTCTTTTTTAAGAGTGACTGTGTAGCATACTTTGGTTCTTCCAGCAACTAATTTTTGCAAGTGTATTGCCTCAAAAGATAAAGAAAGTTAATTTAACTGTCAGGCCAAAAAGAAAAACCTTTCCTGGTTGAAGTTGACATCAATAAGGTAGAAGGTGCTCCGGGAAAAGATAAAGCCAAGCAAAGTTATTGGGAATGGTTTATATATACAAGTAACCGAATCCACACATTGTGCTATAGTCGGGTTTAATTAATTATAATAAAAAAAAAAACATATGGAAGCTTAGATTAACTAAAGCCTGAGTAGGCAATGGAGGTCATGTGGGTCCATCTTGTAATTATTACGACAAAAAGATTAAAACTTGGAATGGAGACGGAATAAATGGTAAAGACAGAGATTTTATAGAAAGTAATGGACCTGCTTGGAGTAAACATAAGTTTTGGTTAGTCTTGTAGCATGTTGGCCAAAATGTGCCCAAACTGATTACCACTTTTTGTGCCATTGGCTGCTTCTGAAACAGATATGATTAATGCTCATAGCTTAATCTACATCTTTTTTGTCTTACTAAAAAAATTTTTAGTGAAGTTTCAGTTAACCAAAGCCATAATAGATGGTTGGAATCATAGGAGAACCATGACATATGGAAGATTAGGTGTGTAATATAAGAAGAAAAAATATTAAACATGAATTAATAAAGTGTGTTGATAAAAGTAAGAATAAGTTGAAGGATATAATAAATCTGAATGACAGTGGTCTAATCTACAGTTCCATGGAGAAATGAAGGAATAATAACAAAAAGGTAAAATGTATGTAGGAAGATAAGTGTATGAAAGTAGGAATTCATAAATTGGTGATAATTAGAATACACTTTTGTAAATGAGAAATTGATTGATTGCTAATAAGATAAGATAACATATGATTGAAGTAAAATAAATGGAATGATTAGGAAATGGTTCAGGACTAAGCAAGTGTGATATTTTTTGAGTTGTTTAATATATTTATGGATTCATATCAAAATCCTTATTAGAGGGTTTTTTGGATGAGGATGTACATATGTATGTATTCGTGTCCTCATGATAACGGTTGAGTATCAGAATGATATTGAATGAATGTATAATGATTGTAGACTGTAGAAAGGATAAAGTATGGCTAAAATTAATGTATCAAACATCAAGCAATTATATTTGACTAAGAAAGTTGAAAGAATAGTTGCAAATTATACATAAATGATGAAGTGCAACATGTAGATGACTTTTTCTATCTTTGTAGAATATTTACTAAAAATAGAAACAAAGGTGGCAACATTTAAAGACATATAAAGGCTAGTAAAAGGGTAGAGGTTAGTATGTTGTATGTTGCAAGGCTCAAAAGAAGCAAAAATGGTTGCTTACAAGAAGGTGTTTCTGTTCTCTTTGACGTAATAATTGTGAACATTGGGTATATCCAGAAAATGAAAAAGTAAAATGAAGTGGGAATAAGTTAAGAAATCTGTGGTAAGAGGAAGTGCTAGGGTCAAGAATGAATAAAGGTGGATTGAGCATGAAAGTGAGTGACCAGTTCAAAAAAGTATATTGCAATGGTTTGGTCATATGATATTGAGAAAATGAATGAGAATTGAATATCTATATAAAAAAAAACAATGTCTTGATAGGAAGGGAAAGTACCAAAAATTATATTTGGACAGCATTTATGAGATCTTAGAAAGAAGTAGCTGAGAAAAACAAACCTAATGTATTATAAATCAATATGTGGATTTGGTAGAAACAAGGATAGTTTGTAAGTATATAAAAGACTGACAGTTTGCAAAGTACAGAGAGAGATAGTGAATTGTATTCATATAAACGAGATATAACTGGTTTTTTTATCTTATTTCATGCGTATCCATTTTTAATGTCTTGTTTATTTGGTTAATGTTTCTTGTTTTTTGCTGCATGTAGCATATTACATTCATTGAAAGGAAATAATGTGATGGGTATGTATGTATGTATGTTCAATAAGAAACTATTACATGTGTTTATACAACATACAAAACTACAATAGAAGTAATTTCCTTTATGGTTTAGATCAGTGGTTCCCAAACTTTTTCAGTCCACCGCCCCCTTGGTGCTACAAACTCATTCTCAATGGCCCCAGCCCAGGGGCAGGATTCAAATTTCTGTGGGCATGGCCTAATTTGAGGGTGTGGTTTGCTGGTAACATGACTGGGTGGGTGTGGTTTGCTGGTCACATGACTGGGTAGGTATGGCTTGCTGGTCACATGGCTGGGCATGGTTTGGTGACTGGCAAACCAAATACAAGTAGTCCTCACTTAATGGCCGGTTGCTTAACAAGTGTTCTAATTTATGATTGGCCTCCCCAGAACTACTTGACCTGTTTTTGGATCCATTGGACCAGATCTCCTCCCTAAAAAATCACTTTTCCCCAATGTATTACAGTGCCAATTCTGAAGAAGGCAAAACCAAAATGTATTGGTGAATTACAAGGAGAGCACACACACGCACACTCCCTTCTAACCCTGCTAGAGCAGGTGATTGGACTAGAATAGATATCTCATTATCTTTCTCTTCCCTCCCTCCCTCCCTTCTTTATTTCTATTTCTTTCTGTCCCTTCCTTCTATCCCCCCTCTTTCTTTGTCCCTTTTTCTTTATTTTTCTTTCTGTCCCTTCCATCACCCCCTTTCTTTGTCCCCTTTTCTTTCTCTTTTCTCTTTCTCTTCTTCCTTCTCTCTCTTTCTCTCTTCCTCTCTCTTTCCCTCTCTCAGGGTCACCCCATTGACTTCGTGCACCACTCTCTGTTTGGACTTGCTTGGGCAGGTGCCTCCAGTGCAAGGGGTTCAATGGGGTGGACCTGCAGGGCCTCGCCCCGAAGACAGTGGCGGTGGGATGTTTGAAAAGGAGAGTAAAGCCACTCTGGCTTTGCTCTCCTTTCCCAACGCTGCATTCGGGACGGAGCTCCTTGCACCAGAGCGTGCAAGTCAATGGGGTGATCCTGCGGGCCCTCACCTCAAATGTGGCGGCGGGCGGATTTTTTCTCACCCCTGAATTGTGCTCTGCCGCTCACCTCCAGCACCCCCCTGCCACCTCTTAGCACCCCCCTGCCACCCCCTTGCCTCTCAGCGCCCCCTTAAGGCATCCCATCGCCCCCCCCCTTTGGGAACTACTGGTTTAGATTAATGAGTGAACCTGACCTGTATGTATGTATTTGTGTTCCACAATAGACAGTCATTTATCACTTCTAGTTTTTGGAAGCACATCCTACTGGTGATGCAAACTTAGCTGAAGTCTTGGCAGTAGATGCTGTAGAATTCATACATTTTTCTCTAAATCTACATTTTTCTTAACCACTGCTTTTTCTTTTATCAATATTTTCTATTACTACTCTTGGATATTTATTTATGACAGTGAAACATCTCTGATTGAAATCAGTTAACTATAATGAAAGGATAGTAGTTATGTCAGTGGAAAGTTAAGCATTAGGAGCAGTACATTGGGGTCTAGAAGAGAAAAAAAGCAGCAAGTTTTATAATTTTTTCCCCAGAATTATCTGGGAGAAGTTTAAATAGGAAATTGGTGTAGATCTTAGAACAATATTTATAAATTAACAAAATGGGGAAGTGTTTCAAATTCATAAGCCCCAAACACTGATGCTCCTTCAGTAAACATAAAACTTTGCTATTCTTACCTTCCACAATTTGTATAATTTGTTATCATTTATTTAACTATAACCTAAATGAGATGTATTGATTTCAAGCAGATGCTTCAGATATTCAACCTAATTGTAGAACTGTTCACTTCAAAGCCTAAAGGATTTCATATTTTCAATTTGCAACCACTAGAGTGCACTAGAAATCCATTTTATTCCTTTTTGGAATAAAATAGGAATTGCTTCTATAGGGTCCCAAAGCCAAGACCGTCTATAAAACTGTGTTATGGTGCATCTTAAGGAGCTTTTAATACCCATTCTCCAGTTCCAAAGATAATTTAGCAGCTGTAAATGATAGCCATCGTAACACAAAATGTATTATGAGTTCCTCTGGAATAGCATTTTCAGCAACTACAAAGTGGAGCCATAAAGCTTTTTATGAGCTACAGGAGATGAGAGGAAGTTGTTTGGCTTCCTTTTTCCAAAAACTGTTTTATTTTTTTATGATTGCTTCTTCTGATAACTTCAACATAAAATAAAACCATTCTCTTTAATATATATATTGATGTATACACACACGCACATGCACACACATGTGTGTGTGTGTGTGTGTGTGTATCCATCCCACAAACACAAACCAGAATGAGCTTCAGGCCTGATTCATTTATATAAAAACTACATATCAAATACAATTTTCCTGCTGTAGATTCCTTTTTACTTGGCATCACTAAAGGCAGCTTGAGAAGCCTGTTCAAGCCACGATGTAGGAATCTGTTGGGTCTTCATTCTGCCATTTCAACACCCTGAATCCATGGAGCCATAGGACAACATACAGTTCTTGTAGGACATAAGGCATACTTTAAAATTTCATGCCATGATATCAGCATCACATGGAGAGAACACATGGAACTGTAATTCTTATGGCTACAGTTTTCTGTACATCTTGAAGGTATACATTTCTCACGGCTCTTTTTTGTACTTCGTACTAAGAGCCGTGGTGGCGCAGTGGTTAGAATTCAGAATTGCAGGCTAATTCTGCCCACTGCCAAGAGCTCAGTCCTGACCTGCTCAAGGCTGACTCAGCTTCCATCCTTCTGAGGTTGGTAAAATGAGAATACAGATTGCTGGGGGCAATATGCTGACTCTGTAAACCACTTAAAGAGAACTGTAAAGCATTATGAAGCGGTATATAACTCTAAGTGATATTGCTACGTGGAATGCTACTCAAGTGATATTTGCCTTAATGGAGCTCATCTGTAGTATCTTGCTTCCATAAAACTTTAGCTATCCATACCAGATACAGGTAGTCCACACTCAGTGATTCCCTCATTTAGCAGCCATTCACAGTTAAGACAGTGATGAAAAGTAATTTTGTAGCTAATGCTCACATCTATGATCTTTACAGTGCATTTCTGTGTCACATGTTCAGTACTATAGTACGTATGTATTCTCCCATGTAAGCCGTAAGCACAGTTGCATTCACTATTTTTCACTTAGCAAAGTGAAGACCACCCTTGGTCACCAAGACCAAGTTGCCAGTCCCAAGTTACAAGGACTATCTCTAAAAGCACCCTATTTACCCCGGACTGCATTCAGAACTCTATAAATATTAGGATTAAAGCAACAACATGGCAGGACAAATCAAGTAAATAGCAATAAAACTGCTAGATCCCATGTTAGGAAAACAGTAGAATTAATTATGCATGACAAAATATAGCTCAACAAGGAGGATCATAATCTAGTCTCGCATGCTGAAAAACCTACATCATGAAAACACAAAACCAGGGCCATATTGAAACCCTATTCTTTCCACCAGAGCTTCTCTTTTATATATTCCATCAGTGTTCTCCTGCTATCCCAGGCTAGTCCATGCATATATCTCATGATAAGCTATGATGGTATGAAAAAAAATCTGATCTTCTGATAATGTTAATCTTGACAAATTTTACAGAACAACTTCAATGTTGACCTGATTGAACAATTTGGAGCTCTTGCGTTATAATAGTTGTGTAAAAGAGGGAATTCTAGACTAGTTGGTATCAGTACATCTACTGAGATTCCATTTTTCACATTTATGAATTTGTATAGAAGCCCTTCCTCTTCTAAATCTCCTTATTCTAAGGGCAAGGAATGGGTTAGGATCTGTATCATGAATATATATCATGAATATATCATGAACTCAAGCATCACAAAAATTTGAATATTATGAAGTGGGAGAAGAAAGGGAGTCTTAATAAGCCTTATATTTCAGCACTGAAAAAATGTTATATATAACCAGTCACTCATCTTCCAAATCCATTAGCAAACTGAGATTTTATAACAGCAGGAGGGCTTACCCACTTATTTATATTTATTTTTTTGACCTTTACAATAACAAATTACAGCTCACTTCATTAATCTGGAAGAGTTTGTTTAAAACTATGAATTAGTCTTGGTTAGCCCAACTAATTTTAAGATAGAAGATTGCTGTTTCAATGGGTTGGGCAACCAAATTAACTGCAAAAGGTCAGTTGTGGATAATTACATTTTTACCTGTCCCTGCTTAGGTTGCTGATACGATATAGTGACAAATAGAAATAACTTGGAGATTCCCTTGTGAAAAACTGAACGACAGCATCTGAAGTAGAGAAAGTTAAGTTTGGACAGCCAAGGATTAAGGAGTGTTGACAAGAATCAGGAAGTGTATTAACTTTGATCAACAGAAATTAAAGTGTTTTTTGTGTGTTCACCTAAAACTGGAGATGGGGGTAGAGTCAGTCAAAGAGGTATGATACACACTGTGCTTTTTGTGCAAACAGTGCATAGCAAAACTTTTATAATATGAGCAGATCTGAGGGAAAAGAAGCAGAGGAAAAGATGCCTTGAGTCAGAGGTAGAAAGTTGTCGAGGTAACTGAACACTGGTAAGAGCTTATGTTCAAGTCTACATGGTGATGACTGAAATAGTGTCATTTTTTTAATGTGTGCTTATCTCAGCTTCACATTTTCACCTAGAAGGAATTGCAGAATCATTGTTGTAAGTGTGGAATTGGAGATTAATTGCTTAATGTAATAAGACCTGATTATAGCAAAAGCACTTAGACTTACATACTGCTTCACAATGCTTCACAGCCCTCTCTAAGCGGTTTACAGAGTCAGCTTATTGCCCCCAACAATCTGAGTCCTCATTTTACCCACCTCGGAAGGATGGGAGGCTGAATCAACCCTGAGCCTGGTGAGATTTGAACTGCCAAATTACAGTCAGCTGGCAGTCAGCAGAAGTAGCCTGCAGTACTGCACTCCAACCACTGTGCCACCGCGGCTCATTATGATTGAAGTAAAACTTATGAAAAAAACAAATGGAATGCTTGGGGAATCTTTCAGCATTGAGCATAAGACAAGGATGTGAAACATTTCTATAGTTGTTTAATGTATTTGCAGTAACAATGTGACAAGTGCTTATGTTGGCATTGTGGTTTCTTTGGCTAGGGACATAAATGTTTTTAGATACTGATGATGTCATGTTATTGGCTGGGAACACAATATTTGAGGTGAATGTCGGCTAGATTGCAAGGTACAGTGTAGAACATGCAGGAGTTTGTAGAAAATTAACACATATCATTTAACATATCAAAGACAAACCTATCTTTGCCATGTTTGATAGGGAAAATGAAATGCAGGTTGTAAATAAATTTTATAAAGAACTAGCGGAAATGAGTAAACAGCTCCAGATAATGTTCATCAGAGATAGAAAGGTGAATGGAGAATTTTAAAAAGAACTGATTGCTGATAGAGTGAACTCTTTTGCGACCTTCTGACTAATAGAGTCAATGGGGAAGCCAGATTCACTTAAGCACGGTGTTGCTAATTTAACAATTGTAATGATTCACTTAACAACTGTGGCAAGGTCGTAAGATGGGGCAAAACTCACTTAACAAATTGCTTACTTAGCAACAAAAATTTTGGGCTCAATTGTGGTCATAAGTCAAGTCAGCAATCAGCTCATTTTAAAATTCTCCATCCACTTTTCTAGCTCTAGTGAACATTTTCTGGAGCTGTTCACTCATTTGCTCTAGTTTTTTTATAAAATTCATTTAAGATCCTTTCAGATTTTTTTTCATTTCAGCCTTCTGATAATACTTTTTCTGTCCTGGAAGAATCAGGCATACAAATATATTTTGCTGGTAATAAATTGGCATACTCAGTGCATAATGTTTTTCTTCCACAAATAAAATACAATCAGATGCAGATTACAAATGCTAAAAGAGTGATTATAAAATTTAATTGCTTCAACATTTTCAGTCAACAATTGCCTTTTTTATATAATTTGTAGTTATTTTTTTCTGAATATGTGTTTCAATCATTTATTTGTTCTAGATTATTAATGCAGCATTGGATAAGTGCATCACTGTGAATCAACTTAATCTTACCTTTGAAACTTGTGATATTAATAACAAGGTAAGACTGGAATTATTTTTTATTATTCTTAAAGGCTAAACCCTTTAAAATGTCTTCAAAATACTGGATAGGGTTTGGTCCTATATATGCTATTACGTTCTCTGCCCAGCTGTGATGCTTGTATGATTTTTAGTTTTAAAGCACCTTTAACCACCCTGCAGTCAAAAGGAATCCAGTTCTGTCCGGATAATCCAATTGTCACCTTATCCAAGCAGAATGTATAGAGCAGTGTTTCTTAAACTCAGCAACTTTAAGATGTGTGGACTTTCACTTCCCAGAATTCCCCAGCCAACATGCTGGCTAGGGGATTGTGGGAGTTGACGTCCATACATCTAAAAATTGCCAAGGTTGGGAAACCTGGGTCTACAGGGTAAGGCATATGACCTTGATAGAGTCCTGCAAGAACATTACCTAGGCAAAGGGGGCTGAAACATTATTTTAAGTGCAGAACAAGGCAACTGTTAGAAGTACTGAGGCAGGCACTTCCCTAATTCACTGAACTATAAAGAATAGGAGGAGGAAGTACATCACAATTAGACTTGGAAGATGCTGTTATTGCCAGTCTCAATTATAATATTCTTAGCCTTCCTGTGGAGTTGATTTCCTGGTCAGATCTACCAGTGGTGCTGACAGAAGAGGATTACAATGTGACAGTGATTCATTTGGCTTTCATGCTCAAAATTGAATTGTGGCCAGAATTCCTTCTTCAGGCAGGAGCTGAAGATCCTATATATATGCTTTAGGATCTTTTGATGGCCTCTGCTTGAACATTCTGGCCCTTTCCCTACAAGAAGCAGAAGGGGTGCAACAGTCAGGCCGATTGGAGAAAACTGAGCTCAGGCTTGTGTGATGGCTCCCTGGAAGAAGACTGAGGAGATTCACCTTGGGATCGGAGTAAGGTGAGCTTAGACAAGGGCACCCTGATCCTGGCTGGGTAGCCTTGGGAAGTAGGAATCTGCATCCAGACAAAGCAGGATTGTGCCCTCTCTCAGGTTTTCTCATGCTTCCCAGCTTTCTACACTCACCCCAAAAAACAACAACGCCTGTTTGGTTCTGCCAGGGATATAAACATGAGGACCCAAAGGAAAAAAAAAATTGGGAAAAATTGAGGGATGTAGTTGCAATGTCATGGAAAAGAGGTCTGAGAAGTCTTTTTTTAAATGTGTTTGCCCTGAGAAATTTAAAAAAAATGGCTTGTGAATTATTTCCTAACATTTTATTTTTAAGATGGGGTAGTTGAAAATACATATTTATTTGTCTCAATGTAGGCAAACTTTTAATAAAATTAAAAGATCAGAAATGCTGAGAGCAATGGTATTTCAGATGCAGAAAATAACACTGTTAAGTCATTTTTTCATGTAGTAATATATGTATTTTGAATCTTATTGTCCCTCTTGAACATTTTTTTCCTGAAAATTAATCATTTCTATATCTGTTCTGAATGTGCAACTTCCTTTGAATTAGGTGAAGTAACGGTTGCTTATATTTTCAAAAATAACTTTATTAAAGCAAGGGATAAATGAAGCAGCTTGTTAAGTCCATTTATAATAAAAACATGTTAAAGTGAATTAAAATAAATAAACTTAGTTTGAAGAACCTACATTTTCAATTTAATACACCAAATATAGTTTTATGCATTTTTAAAGTAACAAAAAGGTAAGTATGAAGAGAGAGGAGAAGGGGGCAATAAAATGTCAATCTAACAGGCTGCCTTTTATTTAGTTTTGAAAATATATTTTATGTGGTGCCTTTAGCACTAGTCTAACTGAGAAAGGAAATTATATCATTTATAGTGAACCTTTGGTCAGTATTTGAGTAACCTCTGGAAAGAGCATCTTTGAGTGATCCAGGGTGTAGTCACAGAGAAGCAGCTCTGTAATTCAGAAAACCCTGATTTGAATCTTTATCTTTGCCAATTCTTTTCTATGTACAGAACCAAAAGTTCAACTACACTTGGCTGAGGCTAATCCAACATGAGGACTCCTGCCTGGCACTTATCGATGCCGAAGGGACCCTGGGTCTGCACCCTTGCGATAAACGAAACAATAGCCAGAAATGGTTGCATAAATCACTGGTAGCTTTTCACCCAGAACTCGTAAGTGCAGCTGTTTAGCAAATAACAACCCCTCTCACTGTGGCTAGAGTGGAACCGGTTCAAAACAAAGACAGCTTGCTACATCATTTTCCTTTGTACGCCAATGACAGACAGGCAGACGTTTGTTATTCAAGTAAGGAAAGGACTTATGCAAGGTTTACTCTTAGCTTTTTTTTTTTTTTTTAGGTAGAGAAGTAACACTAGTGAATATTTAATTTATCATCAGCTACCTCCAAGTGGTCCAGAGCAGTACATACCATTCTTATTGCACTTAACTCTTTACAACATCCTGATCTGAACATTAGACTGAAGAATGTCTGGGGCAATTCTCAGTCATCCAAGTCATGGTTGTCCCAAAGGTTCTTTTTCAAAGATTCAACTGGACTTTTTGAAGTCCTGAAAAAGCCCTTTTGGTCACCCAGTAGTGAGCTTAGTGGTTTAGACAGGATTTGGACATGGGTCTCTTTATTGCTAGCTTCACACTTTTAACTCCAGTATTACAAGTAGAAAGTCTGACTGAAAGTCTAAGGACCAGCAAGCTAGGGCCAAGTTTTGTAAAATCAAAGCACTGCCCGCCCCCCAAAAAGGGGTGGGTGGGGTTGGAGCTACCCCTGACAGATATTTTAAGTTTTCAATTTTATTATCTGCCAGCCATGAAATTTCTCTCCATGCTCCATTTTTAACTGAATAGTGTAGTAACAAAAACAAATTTGGAAACATTGCCTTTTGTTGTTTAATGCTGTTCAGTTATATCACTTCCCATTTATTTCAGCACTTCCTTGGGATATCCAAACTGGAATATTGTCATTAAAAAACAAAATTACTGAACAAAAATTTACAACCAAACTGTAACCCACTAAAAAAGCTAATAGGCAACCATCAGATTTAGACCCTAATCTAATACAGATATAACTCATAGGCGGCTCACACTAAACACAGATAAGAGAGACTCATGCATTTTGCAAACACCGCCCCCCTGCCCCCCCACATCAAGGATGGTCTCTTTCATGACTAGTTGACTTTAGGGGCGGCTTTTTTGTCACAATATGTAAACAATTTGTCGTTTCCTTCTTTTTTTTAATCCCAAAGCTAGGTAAGGGTTGTGGGTGATAACAAACTCTTATCTTTTTTTTCCACATAAGTTGTGAAGTTGCAGACAGGGGTGGAGCTTGTGTTTTTGTGGAGCAATCACTGCTTTCATCATTCTGAATGATTCATCTTTCTGATGAAAGCCCTGGAACGGTGGGCTCCTCCGCCAAGTTCCCTGTAATTTCCTCAGTAACCCTGCGTGGTTTTTTTTTTTTTTAAGATCGGACAAATTTGTCTAGGACTTGCTATAAATTACTCAGTTACTTTAAACAAATGACACAAGGGTGTGGTGAAAAACAGTGAAGCAGGAAGAAAAATAAAACACTAATGTCTATAAATATCCAAAATATGGATTGATCCAAAGGGCACCAAAAGAGCAGCCTTACAAAGAACTTGTAGTTAAAAAGAAAAAACCTCATGCTGTAAGAAACTCTCCCCATCATGATAAAACAATATCGGTTAGATGAAGTGCAAAAGTTGCTCCTTACATTATAGAGATAGATATCAGTATGCATGGAGCAGGGCTGTCAAACTCCCGGCCTGCGGGCCGGATTCTTCACGTGCTGGCCACTCCCCCGGGGTCGGTTTAGCGAAGGAAAAAAGTCCTCATATGTCACTCGATGTCGCCGTGACGACATCAAGTTTGACACCTCTGGTATAGAGGTTAAAGTGATGAGTTGAACAAGAAGAGCCAGGTGCCCCTCCCCCGCTTGATCATGGAACTCCGTAGACCAATCACACGTTCTCAGCCCATCCCACCTCAAAAGATTGGTGTTGTGGGAAAAAGATTAGGGAGAACCTCGTGTAATCTGCTTTTATCTATTAATAGGAAAGGCAGGATATAAATGCAAATAAGAAGCAAAAAAAAAGAGTATAAAACAACAGTGAATAACTTACTTGTTCCAGTTGGAATATATACACCCAATTTTGTATTAGGCTGTGTTAGAAAGTATTTTAAAGAGTCAAGTTTTATTGAAGTTATTGGAAAATAATCTCATTCGGTTTCCTGCTGCTTTGATACAAACTTGTCAAACTTATAGTTTCAACTTTTCAGATGTATTTACCTTAGATGACATAAACTGCTTATTTAGGATCCAAAAATAGTTTTTACCAAGCTGTTGTGAAAAATGATCTAATGAACATATTTTCAAAAAGAAAAAAATAAATTCTTTTTCTCCCTCCATAGCTATAGGACCTAGAAATTGATCTTAATGCTAAGAAAATGCCAAAGTAAATTAGAATGATTTTTCTGCATCTAAAATTGGAACGGGGATAGAATATGTCAGTAGAGTCTTTTGGTTTTTGTGGGGAAGGTCTATCACAGCAATTAAGGGTATCTCATCAGTAATCATGTACCCAGTCTTGGTTGTAGATATGCCTTCCATTTATTTTTCCATCATATGAAACTCTTTAAAAAGGAAATGGTATTGTCTTGAGTTCAAAGGCTTCCTAAAAAATTAAGGAAATTCTTTGTCCACTTAAGTTACAAAAATAGCTTGCCATTTTCCAGTTGTCTTCATAAGGAAGATGGCAAGATGGAGTTTTTTTTCTGTTTATTTGTGTATTTAGATAGATAGCTTGCTGGACCATAAAAGCTAATTAAACACAATTGGATACATACTATTGCATCCATGCAATACTGAATTAACATCAAACTAAGGCCTACAAAAACTTTTATCTGCTGCGGTAAAATATCAGATTAGTTTTTATGGGAATGTTGGATGTGAAAGGAACAGAATATAAGGCTTATGGGAGAAGTGATATATCTGTCACTGGAAAGCAAAGTATGAATTTCTTTTATTCAAAAGTAATAGCTGTTACTTACAAGGCCCTTTTATGGCAGTTTCTATTGAAAATAAAGAAAAACCAGCAGAGCAGCTTATTCTTTGGGGTACTCATGAGAAACTTTTTCTTCATTTTTCTTTGTATGGAAGGGCAAAGAGGAAGAACGTATTTATCAAATGTGCATGCCAGCCATCTTGCCAAAGCTAACTCAGTAGGCAGGTTCCAGATACTAAAAGATACCTACTTCCACCTTTCTGGATATAGTAGGGGAGTCTTCGACTTAGAAACATAATTGAGGACAAAATTTCCAGTTGTTAAGAGTATTGTGTCCCATTTTATGACTTTTTTTGCACAGTTGTTAAATGAATCGCAGCAGTTGTTAAGGCCATCATGCAGTTGTTAAATGAATCTGGCTTCCCCCATTGACTTTGCTTGTCAGAAGCCAAATGGGAAGGTTACAAATGGTGATCACATGACCCTGGGACAACTGAAACTGTCATAAATACATGCCAGCTTCCCAACATCTGAATTCTGGCCATGCGAACATGAGACTGCTATAATGATCATAAGTGTGAAAACAAGTCATAAGCCGTTTCTTTCAATGCTGTTGTAGTTTCAAACAGTCACTAAATGAATGGTTGTAAGTCAAGGACAACCTCTAGTATCAACATTGTGCCAACATCTAATATACACACATGCGGCTTGACATAGATAGGAACACTTTGCCAGACATCAAATCTAAGATATGAATCTGATGGGAGAGGCACTGAAGTGGGATGCTAAAAAGTTTTAATGTATTTATTTGTAAAACTTATTGGCTACCATGCTTTCACAAGTTTAGTGTACAAGTAGCTCTCGACTTACAAGAGTTCACTTAGGGATGATTCAAAGTTACAACATCACTGAAAAAAGTGACTTGTGACCATTTTCATACTTATGACTATCACAGCATCCCCACGCTCACATGATCAAAATTCAGGCGCTTGGCAGCTGAGTCATATTTGTAACAGTCGCAGTGTCCTGGGGTCAGGTCATCCCCTTTTGTGACCTGACAAGCAAAGTCAATGGAAAAGCTGGATTCACTTAACAACCAGCTTATTAGTTTACCAACTGCAGTGATTCACTGAACAACTATGGCAAGAAAAGTCGTAAAATGGGGCAAAACTCACTTAACAAATGTTTCGCTAAGCAATTTTGGGTCATAAGTTGAGGACTACTAGTAATTAGCAAGAAATGAGTGAAATGCTTATGAGCTTCGTTTCTATTGCCAGTGCTGTACCTTGAATGCTGAGAGTCCCTTCGTTATGATGATCAGTATTTATTTGCATTGTGAATCTCTAGATTTTGAATATTTGTGGCAATGCAGGGTTTTTGGTTTTTTTTGTAAATTTTATTTGAGTTTTCACAAAAAAAAATACAAATAAAACATCTTTTTTGAAAGTAGCGTAATCCTGGGTTACATTTCTTCGTACAGACACAAATTCAATTTCATGCTTATTTTTATGTTCTATTTCATATCTTATTACTGTTTTACCTTTTCTGCATAGCTTCTCCCCTTTTAATTTTCTCAATTTTATTTTAATTATCTCGTCTCAATTCAAATCATTATATTTATATTTTTTTTCTGTCCTGTTTCTATTATCTTTTCTCATTAAACAAAGTTTCTCCTGTAGTTACTGATTGGAGTATGACACCTTTATATCTTTTAAGTTGATCCATTTAACTCTTATTTAGGCTTCAATATATACCCTAAAGTTATAACATTCAATATAATAAATGACTTCCATTCGGATTCTGCTTGGTACATTCTTAAAATACACACCATATTCTTAAAAGAAGAAAAAATTATAAATATATGTAATTAAAGCAACACATTCCATTCCAATTCAATTCTGTCATTAATGTTAATATTCATTAAAATCTTAACTTCTTTAACATTACTTTTCAATTAAATATCATACTTCTATGGGAACAATTATAAGCTTTCCATAATTTATCCCCCCCCTTCACTTATATTTTATAAAACATTAACTAATTAAAATGTTCCCGTCCCTTCCAAATTCAATTTTCTCATTTATTTTATTTCACTTATTTTATTAACAAACATTTCACTAAATTACACTAACTATTTTATCCCTCATTTTAATCATACATTATTTCCAATTTTCTAAAGTTATTTCTATTACTAATATAACAATACAATCATATGTACCTTTACAGAATCCCTTTTTCAGTTAAATTTTCACCCATTATCTCTAAATAGGTCCTGTTTATATCTTGTTCCAGTCCTTTGTAACTTCTTTTCCTTTCCTTCTTCCCTCTCTTCTTCTCTCTCCCCTTTTTACCCCCTTGTCTCTCTACCTCTATTTCTCTCTTCTGTATTCCCCTTTTCTGTTGCTTTCCAATATTATACTTATTTTTCGAATTATTTTTCTTTTCTTTGGTTGTTTTTTTAAGTCTTAAATTCTCCATTCTCTTCCCCCCCTTTCCTTTTTCTTCCCCACATAGAATTACTTGTTCATTAAAGATGGCTTCTTCTTTGTCCCAGTCTTCTTGTTTTGCAGACGTTTCTTGTTGTTTCTCATAGTTCCAAATCTCCATTTCTAAGAATTGAAAAACGAAGCCAAAAGAACCTCTCCCTTCTTGTGCATCTTCTTTGTACTTTTTAAGTTCCATTTTCAATTCATCTAGAAGTGATGCCATTGTATAAATTTTTAAACAACCACCAGATTAATTTTAGTCATTCAAATGTAATAATCAAGAATCCAAAGATCACCAAATAATCCAAATACACGCAGGCTGTTTCTTTTTGCTCTTTTTTCGTTACTTTCTCTTCCTGGGGTTACTGTTTAGTTACAAAGTTTCAGTTAAAATGTATCTTTTAGAAGTTTTGTTGAAGTTTTACTGTAGATTCTTTTTAATTCCAAGCAGTCTCCTCCCTCTTTCCAGATCCTGCCCTTTTATTCTTTTTCTCTCCCTTCCTGCTTATGAAAAAAAAAATTAGTGTCCAGAAATCTTTATTATCCCTTTGACATTTTGTTTTATTTTCAGCTTAATTGCCTGTTGATGTCAAAGTGGATTTTTCTGATTTCTTATTTAAGTCTCTTAGTTATCAGTATAGGGAAAGGGAGAGAAGAAAGAAAAAAACCAAACCTTTCCCTTTTCACTTACCCTCGCTGCTTCCGACTCTTCTTTGGGAGCGATGTTATTTTTTTGTAAATTTAAATTCCAGGGTACCTTAGTTGTTGCTTTTGCAATTTAACTCGGTCAGCCAAAACTTTCACTTATCTTCCTCCTGCACATTCTTTTCTGGTCGAGTTCTTCTTTGTGGTGGCCATTTCTGACCACCGCTGCAACCGCCTTCGGGAAAGGGAGTAATGGCCAGCTGAGGAGGAGAGATGCGGCTCTCCTCAACCCTGCTGGCAGTCTCCCCGCTCTTCACCACCTCTATGGGGTGGCTTAGCCGTGAAACCAGCTGGCTTGGGGCACTCCAGCAGCGAGCCCAGACTGAAACTGCACACAATCACGGATTTCTGTCTGTCGCCGAAGGAACTCAAACCGGAAGCCAGTTTTTGTTTTTTTTTCATTTCCTTATCTTTTACAGCTTTCAAAGATTCTTCAAACTCATTTCTTAAATAAGCTGATTTTCTCATTTGAGAATAGTTAGGTTACTATTAGGAAACCTCAGATACCTAAGTTAGTTGCACCTGAGAATATGAGTCTTGCTCATTCGAAATATTTCATGAATTTATAATTTGATTTTGACAATTAAGAAATTAGCCCACCCTCTTTTCATTGTGATATGTCCCCTATTTCATCAGCTGAGTAATACTGCAATCTGAAGAGCAGAATCACCTGCCATTATAGCAAACGGCATATGTATAACTTCCTTTGCCTAACAATTACCATTTAGATGGGGAGAATTGTCTTTGAATTTTCATAGAATTAGCAAGCTGTGCCACATAGAGACTCTAGTCCAAGAACAGATAGACCTGTTGTGCACTTCTTGTCCAGAAGACATGCTGTCTATTTCCTGTTCCACTTATAAATCATGTATGAGAGTTTACTTTGCCAAGATTTTTTTCTGGTACAAAAGCAATGGCTTACTTTTCAGCTTTGTGCATATAACCCATTGTCACCATCTTCTCTCTTCTCTTTAGATGGATCACATTGTTTTAGAGCACCTTTCAAGGGCCACGTGTTTGGAAATAGACCGGTCTCAGAAAATCCTGAGGGCTAACATTTGTTTTTCAAGCAATATTCATCAGAAATGGCAATTTGGAAATTACTATGCTGAGTGAAACCATAGCCAAGCAAGCTACATGTAGGAGCTGCTTAGTATGCTGCTAAGTTCAAGAATGACAACTCTAGAAATGGGAAGTACAGAATCAGCAACGTTTCTCAAAACCACAATTTGAAAGTAGTGTATGGGGAAATCCAACAGATGGAGAAAGAGCACAGATGATTTGACTGGTGTCATTCCAGCCAGGCCTGTTACCTCAAAGGCAGGACAGAAATCTGGCCTGAAAAAAAAAAAAAAGAGTTCAACAGAAAGGAAGTACTTTGAATATCTTTTTCCATGACAAAAAGTAAACTTAACAACAGAACATTATGCTACATTATTATGGGACCCATTATGAATATTTCATTTCATTAGTGTTCTCTCCTTCCCTGCCCTCCTCTCCCTTTCTTCCCCTCCCTCACTCCCTCCCTCCCTCTCCCTCTCTCAGAAAACTCTTTGGCAAACCTTGTAGTCTTAAATCTCCAAAACCTTCATTTCAAAAGCACGTACAGAAGGTTAAAAATGTCTTCCAACTCCAGCAGAAAAGGTCTTATTGCTGGCATCTCCAAGAAAATGTGGTGCATTCTTCGCCTGAAATCACTCAGCTGTAGAGACCAGAAGTAACTTTTTCCGATGACCCTTAGAATTACAGCCACTTCTTCAACCCCTTTCAGATCATCCAAGATGGGAAGGAGAAAGAAGAGTCTCATAGCTATATTGAAAACTGTATTGCAGGCCTTAAAAAATTTGATATTGCTTTGAAGTTTCTTTTTGGATAACTTACAACTTTGGCTGGATACCCTGTGTGTGTTTCCCTCTTGTGACAAGAATTCGCGTTTCTTGTTTTAGAAACTGGACATAAATATGTGATCCCTTCAGAAGGATGACAAACATGTATTCGGCAGGAGGAGGGGGCAAATGATAGGACCGATGAAGTAGAGCTTATAGAGAATTAATGGAAACAGCATTCCTTCAGAACGTAAAGCAGCATCATATATGTTGGTGATGTGATTCATCTCACTAGGCACAAAAAATTAAAAGAACCACATAAACTTGCATCGGGTAGTTCCTCCCAGCAGTTCGTATTGCTATCATAACGCACTCTAGGATGGAAGAATCATCCAGGTATTTACCATTTGCTAGCCAATTTGGAACTTGAGAGTAATAATCCTGACCGCATGAAGAGCCAGGTGCTCGTGGTCTCCAAACACACACAGATTTCAAGCATTGCCACATACACGCAACTCTGGGTCACAGAAACATTTTTCAGAAGATTGCTTGTTTTGTACTTTGGAACTGGCCACCTCATCAGTTAATATTCTATTAGATTTTACTGATTTTCACAATCTACAAGATCATAGGACTGGGATATTCCTTACATAAAATTCAAAGTGAACACCTTTAAAAAGATGCTGCTTAAGAATGGACCTCATTGGATCTCTCCACTTTCAGCTCAATCCCCTAATCAGACGATTAGCACTTAAGAAAAAATAATCTTGAGTGTTTCCAAAAAGCAAGGTCAAATTTCACACATACCCCACTGTCTTTAAATAGTTTGTCATCTTCTAAAAAGACAGATACTTGTGTTTTTCATACGTAACTTAGCCAATATGTGAATTTACATTTTTTTTAATGTTGGGAGAAACACCATGGAGCTATCCACCTATTATCTGAAGTCACATTGCCCAACAGTGTAATGAAATTATTTATATACTATGCAATTGTACACCATAAATATATTTTTGTGCATAGCACAAGGGGACTAAGCCCTGGCTTGCAGCCGCCTATCCCTAGATATTTGTATGTGAAAAGAAACTCCTAATGAAGGACCTAGAGCCAGTTTGGTTTAGTGGTTAAGGTATGAAGGTAAAAAGCAGGAGGCCAAGTCACAGCTATGAAAGCCAGCTTGGGTGGTTTTGGTCCAATTACTCACTGTCAGCCCAACTCACCTCACAAGATGATTGTAGGGGAAACAAGAAGATATGTTGGATGTGCTCACCGCCTTAAGCTGTTTGTAAAAAATAATAAAAGGTGGGATACAAATAAATAAAATATAGGCTTCCCCAATAGGTGGATGCCTGACATTACAGCACATGTGTACAGAGAATGTGTGTTCCTCAGGAATCGGGAGTCCTGGGGAACTCTGGTCCTGCGTCCCCACATTCTCTTGGTTGGTTGTGGCTTGAGAGTGGTGCCCACTGTTAAATGAGTCTGTTATTTGACAGGACCAAAATATTTAACAATAATCTTCAAGGTATTTAAGACCAATGAACACTGGTAACTCTGGAATTAATTTGCTGAAACTGCTCATCAGCATAAGAATTCTTATGATTGTGAATTGCTCTGGAACAAAAGACTTAAAATCCACATCTTGTGTCTCAGAACGTTGTGCTGACATTATTTTTTGTAATCTACATTTTTGTAATCTTAAGCTTAGAAGGCAGCCAAGCTTTCATCAGCCATCATATTTACAGTCGGTTACAAGATTCTTTGGTGTCTAAGAGGGTCTCTGTATATAATATCACATTATGCTGACAAGGCTTGGCAAAGCAAAGTTGCCAAAATATTGATTTGCCTAAGAGACATCACAGTTTAATCCCCAACTGTCTTTCTGATTTCCTTTGCTTATCATTTAGCATTGCTACCCTGTGGGCACTATCAAAAAAATTACACAGATGTTGTCTGTGAGCTCATGATTTATCAAAAACATTAATTTCATTACATATTGTGTGCTGATATCCTATCATTCTTCATTAAGCCAATATAGAGAAGCCATACGTAATAGTAACATCGTATTTCACATCTGTCCCAGTGCATTTTCACTCTTCATTTTCCAAAATGTCTGTTTCAATAATCGTTTTGTTTAGGCTTTAAAAATAACTTTGTATCCTCTTCATAGAGGATGGGGACCAGTGTGGGGACCATAGCAGCAATAAAAAGTGCAATATTAGATCTATTTTTTTTCTTGCAGGAAACAGGTATCTTGGGCTCACAAATCCAAATAAAAATTTGAAGTCCAGGATATAAGCATGAGCACCTGTGACATTCCCCTCACTCCAGAGCAGAATATATGATACAATTAATATTTACAAGTTTTAAAAATATGGCACAAATATCCCTTTACAATCAATCGTGATTTCTTATTTTCATTCTTTAACAAGCAGTCATATTAACATATTTCCCTGCATTTTGCAGCCATGTGTTGTCTTTTTTGCTTGCTGGTGAAAATTACAGAAATGCATTCCAAAAACGAATCGGGCTTCGAAATTCGATGCCATGTTTTTGGAAAGAATGCCAAATACAGCAGCTGTCCCTGCCAACCAGTGTAGGAGAGGACAGAAATTTTTCCCCCTCATTCTCCAACCCCGATTCTTGGATTCTTAATCTGGAAATAAAGACAAATAAGCCCCTCATCTTTTAGCTCTGAGTTGGTATTTACTTTGCCTGATTGGCTTCTGTGTTCTGCAGCACTTTGTGTAATTGTTTTCAGAATCAAGCCAAGATATAGGTGTTCTCTAGGATTTGGCTCAGCCTACGCAGTGAATTTACCTGCTTTGGTCTCTTGTGTAAAAAGATTTGAATACAGTTGACTTGCTGCTGTGATGATATTTGTAAAGTCAATATAGTTGACTATTCTTTTTTACTGTTTGGGTTTATCCAATCCGTTTCTCGGCTCTTTAAAAAAATAGCAAATGATGCAATTTTGACATTTCTTAATTTTTTTTCCTTATAAAATGGATTAATGAACACATATCAGACTGTGAGATCCAGCCATCCATATAGCATGGCAAATTGCCTCACGTTCACCATAATTTAAAATCCTGGCACTGAAGATCTAAAAATATCTATAGATGCCATGTTAATTATGTTGATTTGTTTAATAATGTTAATACATTGCGAATGCAGCCTGCCATCATTTTTCCCTTTCTTTAAAAGCACAATGAAACTGAACTGTGGGCTTGTGATGATTTTTGCATTTATGAATGAAATGCCCATTAAAGACAGAAAGATAGAAAACTGACAGCAGAAAAAGACCGAGACTGGTCCATCCAGTCTGCATAGATAATCCCCTGTATTTGGCCCAGTATTGACATAACAGCAGCAAGCCCAGGTGAAAAACTGATCTTTCCATATTGATCTGTACAACATGTGACAAGCATGGACATCTTTAACATCTCTCCAAGATGGGTATCAACTTTGAAATATGAATGATCTCAAGCTGCACCTATAAACCTAAGCTGAGCTTCACTGAAATGATTGCAAATTCTCTGCAATTAAATATCAATTTGTATATACAGGTAGTCGTTGACTTACATCAGTTCATTTAGTGACTGTTCAAAATTAACGGCACTGAAAGAAGTGACTTACGACAATTGTTCACACTATTGTTGCAGCATCCCCATGGTCATGTGGTTTACATTTGGATGCCTCACAACTGACTCACGTTTATGACGGTTGCAGTGTCCCAGAGTCTTATGATCCCCTTTTGCGACCTTCGGACAAGCAAAATCAATGGGGAAACCGTGTTACTAATTTAAGAATGCAGTGATTCACTTAACAAATGTGGTGAGAAAATTCATAATATGGGGCAAAACTCACTTAACAAATTTCTCATTTAGCAACATAAATTTTGGGCTCAGTTATTATCTAAATGGAGGACTACCTGTACACAATCTTGGTTTTAATGAAGCAGGGGGGGGGGAAGCCTTGTGGGACATGGAAAATTAGTTTACAGAGCTTTTTACTATCGATACTAAACATAAATCTATTTGTGCAATAAGAAAGCATGTTGTGTTACTGAATTTTGATGTATTATCAAGTCTCAGATCAAAAGGTAATTTATTGAAAATATGGACCCATTCTGTTAAAGTTTATTACTCATGATAACGAAGGTGCTAATACTGATGCAACTGTTCCATTTCTCGCTGATATGAGGAACTCAAAAATGAATCCCTAATAACTATTTCAGGGAGCCTTAAATGTTACCATGTTGGCTTCATGCCTCACACTAACCTGAATAATATATTGTTTGTTTCATCTTCGTGTATATGTCTGTATGCACCTAGCAATTGTGACTTCTTCATTGAAATGGTTTTAAGCAGACCTCCGTGTTGTGTGAAACAGGTCAGTGTCTGAAACACCAAAAAGCAGGAACAACAGGGATCAATGTATGAATTCTGTCATTATTTTTGTATGAAATATAATTTGTTCTGGTTGTATACTATGTTCCTGATGCTAAAATTGTTTCAGTTAATGGCTGCTCCTTGTTTTGTTTTGTTTTAGCTGAATTAGCATCCAGAGAAGAGCTTTTCTTTGATGAATTTAAGTATATATTGTAATGATTTGGATGCAAATTTGTATACATAACTACGGCTGGAACAATGGGACTTTCCATCACTGGGTGTGCCTTAAATTCCATTCAAGACATCCTCTAGAGTAGTTTTAAATGGTGTGTTGATGGATACAACTATTTTGCTAGCCAAGCTCCTCCCATTGTTTCATTACTGGATTTAATTCTTACTCGTACTTGGATTTATTAAAATCACTAGGGATTTGTAAATCCTTGTATAAATCAATCAGTGATTTATATATCTGAACTAACAAGTTGTGCCTTAATGTGCAGTCCCCTATGACTTACATTGGAATAAATTTCACTACCCTCCCCTGAAATTGTTGCGGAATAAATATGTATAAGACAGACTACATTTCCAAAGTTGAGCACATATCATGTGTATAAGATGTTTCCCTCCTTGATGATGTTTGTTGATAAAGTTTGACATGAAGTTTTAATTTTGAAAACTAGAATTAAATTCCAAAATTGTTGCTATATAAAAATGGTTTGTGTGTTTCAATCAGTTCTTACTGTCTCCCCATCTGTTAATTTTGCAGCACCATGGATATTTAGCTGTTTCTCAGTTGTAGCTCAGCATCTGAACTGCAATATTTTTCTCATCAGTGATTGCATGACTAAGAGTTTGAAACTGCTGTGTCAAATAGGGTTTCTTGAATACTGTACACCTTTGCAATGTTTGGTTCCCTACAGTTTTTTGGCAAAGGATGAATTAAAATATTTTGCATGTTATTTGAAGCACACTGCTGGCTCATACTTAAGTGGTGCTCCAGTAAGACTCTTAGATCCTTCACACAGTTACTGCTGTTGAGCCAGGTATTATTACCTATTCAGTGCCTGTGCACTTGGTTCTTTGTCTCTTTCTGTTTTCTTCTCTAGTGCAGTACAGAACTCACATTCAAATAATGACCATTCATTGTATATAAAGCAAGTGATCTTTCTTTTGGATCTGGTTCTGTAATACTACCAACCTTGTGTGTGGAAACCACAGGGACAGCTACTGAAGAAGCGTAGAGCAGATGTCACCCAGATTATTGATTTATTCAAGCCAACTGCAGTTTTTGTTACAAGCAAATATACAACACCCCCAAATCATGCCTTGATAATGAGACACTTCCCAAAGCCACGTATTGAAGCCAAAGTACACCAAAGGTGCTGAAATCTATGGGCTTATTTAAGACTAAAATATTCTTGGAAGGAAACTCTTCAACAAAATTCAGATTTTAAGAATCTTGTTGTGTGCTGCTGCTATATGTGTGTGTTTGTGTGTGGGGGTTGTATGTATGTAACAATGCATATATATGTCCAGTCATTTCATTATGAAACAAATAGAAAGTATACCTGCTGAATATTAGTTGGGATAAAAAGGGGAAGATGTTTACTTCACTAGTTTGTAGAGCAAAGTAGACTCTTCATTCAGTTTACTTCTTCCCAAATATTAATTTCAATAAATCTGTGCATGCACATGCACATTTTTATTTCACACAAAGTAATAAGTGTGTGTTCTCAGAATGAAGATGAAATGTTGATTGAATTCTTAGCATTTGTCTGGAGACAAGGATCATAAACAGAAGCCTACTATTTGCAAATATATCCTCTGGGGTCATACAGACTAATGGGGCGAATAAACAACTTGCCTTGGTACAATGAGGTTAGTGTTTAGTTTGTACAATACTGTCGTTTTATTCATTTAAACAATAAAGAAGTGATTTGTACGATGAACAAAAATAAATTCCAAAACATAAAAAATAAACCCAAAGCATTATTTCATTTCTAAACTTTAGTGGCATTGTAATGGCTCCATCCCCGCACCATTTCACTTTTGTTGGTTTATTTTTATTACCCTCGATGTTCAGTTAAGTGCAAAAGAAATTTAATAAAAATGATAAAAGACCCCACTGGGCAGGGGCCGCTGCAGAGCAGCGGTGCCCTCAACAGCATCAAAGCAGAAGCCACAACTCAGGCAATCAAAGGTCCACTTTGCAGACAATGGGTGCAAAGCATGTTAAAAAGGAATGGGGCTTCAATTGCCTAGATGATCCTGCCATATAGACATTGACCAGTCAGGGATGCCCCTGATTCTGTGCTTATTCATCATCAATGAGACCTGCAAATGAAATAAAGCATGAAATGTAATACGTGCACAGTCTGAAGTAGGCGCCTATCTATTTATATGATAGATTCAGGATGGGAAGTCAATATGTGCGACCCCTTTGAGGACCACGTACACAACACCAAAAAAGAAACAAGCATAATGTTGATAAATGTGATTTGAATGTATGTGATCTAATTTATGCATCCAAATGCAAATTTTGATAAAATTTAAATAGCTGAACAATTCACAGAATCAAAGATTGTGTCCAGATTTGTGTTGGCAGCCCATTCTACTAACAGCACCCTTCTTAAGTTGGACTTTGACTGAGGTTATTTTTCTGTAGAAAATGGCTTGGCATAGACCAGGAGTGTCAAACTCAAGGCCTGGGGGCTGGATCCAGTCCATGGGGTGTTTAGGTCTCGGCCACAGGGCCACCCTGGAGGACCATGCACAACCCTCCCTAAGCTCCATTTTTGGCTGCGATGATCTGCTCCAGGCCTATGCCGGCAAAAACAGTGCTCAGGAGAGCCTCACGTGCTCCCTGAGCTCTGTTTTTGCTGACAGAGGGCTGGAGCGGGCCGTTGAGTGACGTTGAGCTGGCCACATCCATCTAGCCACACCACCCAGCCCCATGAGATCAAACACAACCCTGATGCGTCCCTCAGTGAAACTGAGTTTGACACACCTGGTATAGACCATTATCCTTCGATCGTGCTTCAAATGGCTAAGGAAACCTCCAGTCTGGAGGCAGAAGAAAACATGTTGAAAGGAATTCCAGGAGCAGTTTGTTGAACCTCACAAAGCAGCAGATCCTTGGCAGTTGAAAAACTATGAACTGGAATGCTGTTGCTCAGCTGTGCCCAGTTGTGCAGCTGCAGCCCTTTCTGGAGTGTGAGGACCTAGTGAAGACAACTCACACCTTCATCACTTTGAGATTGAATGGCTGCAACAAGGTCTAC